GTGTCTCATAATATTTAAGTTTAAGCTTCATTGTTAGAATCAACTAATAATTAACCCTAAGACTGTGAGCAAACTGTCAGAGTCTATTCACAAATCAAAACCATGTTCTAATTCAATAGTCTTGATCTGAGATAGTTTAAATTGCATATTCTTGTGACTGAACTAGAAAATTTGAAAGCATAAACAAAAATAGATTTCTGTATAATCTCTATAAAACTTCTTTCCAGTGATTAATTTATGCAAGGTTTTTTTTGTTTGTTTACTTATTAGGTTCAGCATAGTGGAGAATGGCTGTATCCATTCTTTCTATCGCTATTACATCAAATACGTGACATAATCTACTCCTCGCTTTACATTAGTGTAGCATTCTTCTTCTTATTGTCATTATTTGGAAGAAATTACCCATTCAATGAATATTTATTGAACACTGAGTGGCAAGACATTTTTCCAGGTGATGGGCTTTCGTAGGTCTTTACTATTTAGTGATGGAAGGGGAAACAGAGGAGAGATGGCATAACTAAGGGAGATGTTTTTCCATTTTAACTGTTATGCGCAAATCCTCTCTCTCCTCCCCTCCTAGTGGGTCATGCTGGTTTTAGACCACCTATAGTCTGGTGGGACTCCATTCAAATCCTCCTGCAGTTGATGTTTTTTAAAGTAAAAGAAAACAATGCCTATTTTTACAATTCGTCCAGATAATGAAGAAGAGAGAGTGCAAAGTGCTTCCACTCAATCCTGCTAAAGATAATACACTGGAAACATTTCAGTGGGTGTGAATCGCTCAGACAAGCATTCTTCACTCAAAAATAGAAACTTGCCTTATTCATTCCAGATGTCATACAGCTGCAGGGGAGTTAAAGCTAGCCATCCTGTTTTCAGTGCAACCAAACTCTTATTGCATTTGGAATTTCTTAACCAGTGATCTATTACTTGCTCTAGGACCTTACAGTTTTCTTTTTCCACTATTACCGTTCGCAAACAACTCTGTTTCATGGGGACCACACTTCAGAATTAATGAGTGCACATCTGTGTAGTACAAAAGACACACATCCTGTTTATCACAGTTTCCACTTTTCGTTTATCTTGACCTTCTACATTTTAAGCATAAAGTGGTTTGAGTAAGAGTATTTGAAGGAAAAGCAAAGGAGGGTGGTGTCATTTGTTAGGTAAAGTCTCTTGTATAATTGTGTCCCACCCCCACGAGGTGTGCTGTACACCCTAAAATGAACATCATCTTCTCAGCCTTTAATACTGGGCTTAGAAGGTGATGTTCATCTTAGGGAGAATTTCAGGATACATTATGAAGAAAAATACTGAGTATAAAAATTTAATTACTATTTTTCTTTTGCACTTATTAAGATAGACATTTCAGCTTGATTCTCTGTAGGTTGACAAAAATGTTATGTTGGATGCATGAAATATAAAAGATCATGAATCTTTAAAGAGGGAGAATAAATTAAGAAATTATGTAGAAGACATATGTGCAAATTTTATATCTAGTCCATAAAAATTACAAAAATATAAATGTCAAGTTTTCTCTTATGTGGGTGTGTATTAGATCATCTACTAGTTTCTTATTAGAATTGAGAACATTGGATTCTTGCTTCTCCATTCTTCTGATGCTTTACTAAGAAGAAGGTGTTCCAACTCCATTCAGGTTAATACAAAAGATGTTGGGGGGCAGGGTAACTAGGCAGCAGGCAGAGGGGAGCAGGGAGGGGGATGGGTGTGCTCCCGTTTAATGGCACAACGTTAGGGAGTATGGCACACCTCTTGGGGGTGGGACACAATTATAAGAGAGACTTTACCTAACAAATACAAACATTATAACCTGATTCTTTGTACCCTCATTTAACACGAAACAATAAAATAAGTAACACGTTAAAAAAATACAAATGTCAGTTTCTATGTTTGAGAATAGCATGCCAGATATCTTGAGATTACTGGCTTTTCATAGAGAAGGTTTTCTCAAATTGCAGTTCACGAACACTCTTTAGTAGAATTATACTGGTTGCTTATTAAAATTGTGTGTTTCTGGTCCCAGTTGAGGCAGAATCTCTGCAAATTTGGCCCAGGGCTTTAGCAGGACTCTAAAGATAGGGAAAAAAAAACCCCAAAACAAAAATAAACCTTTGTCTTGTAGTTGCAAACATTAAAACTATGGAGGTTAAGTGAATTTATTAAGGCCATGTAGCCAATTAATAGTAAAGTCTAGAATTTTGTTTACTAATGCTGAGACCCGAATTTCCTTTTAG